TACCATTTAATACTTTACTTTTCATCGCTATTGCTCTCCGGGGGGAGGGGGGGGGGAGAGCTGATACCTCCTAGAAATGATAAGTCTCGGTCGTTATATCGATCGTGAACTATTGACCCTTCCTTTCTCTCCTGGAAACCTCTATAGATATTATAGTTTAAGGGATATTAGAGAGAAAGTGTGTGTGTGTGTATATGTACGTATATATTGTACATATATATTATTACATAGCATTACAGTTGCTTGCCGAAAAGATTAACACGTATATAGTTTATGACGATGAATCATATAAACAAATCATTTGGTATAATCTTTTGAATATGAGAATTTTTGTTAAAGAGATAGTTATATGCAAATACCAATATTCCCATAGATATCTCGCGGCTCGTATTTCAATTTATACGCACAATTATATTATATTTCATCTTCCCTCTCCGGGATAACAGGACGTCGATTTTTATCATATCTATTTAAATTTTTATTCAGATAATGGAACTTTTCAATAAATCGCATTGGCTTATCATACGTGACAGCCTTTCCTTTCCTTTAAAGTGCGGGATATAAAGTTTAAATTAGTTTATACATCTTCCTTTCTATATAAGTAAAGGTAATTCAATTATATAATTAATTATAAGTGAGCGTAACGTGAAGCTAAACTATGAATTTATGGTATTGCACACCGTATAGAAATCTTAATCGGTAATGGAAAGAGAAGTTAAAAGAGGATCGATAGAAAAGTACAATAAGAGATGAGAACTTCATTATCGATAAAAATCACAATTTCAATCAGTCTGGATTTCCCCGTTTCAAAAGTTTGACAATAAAAAAAACGAATTTATCGACCCTTGTCGTGCTTTATCTCGCCGACTTTTTTCTCCCCGAAGCGAGCATGTCGCGCGGCCTCCGGGCCCAGGCCCCTGTCCTCCAAGAGAGATTTATGCTACTGACATTGAAACTAAATTACGCTATAAATTAACTTTAAATTCGTGCTTTCGATGCACCCCGACTTACCCATCCCTAAGAGACCTCATTCACCCAGAGACTTGGGCCCATTCGTCATCAACTTCAACGACAGTTCCGATTTTCTTTGCAGCTTCCTCGTTTCGCACGCATAATTAAACGGCAGCAGATAATAATACACATTTTGGGGCTCGCATTAACTATTGACAGTCGGGACTGTGACTTTTATTGATTTTTAATAATTATAATTGTCATTTTTAAAATAAAACAATTTATGATTTTAAAAGACTCGCGGTAAGATTTATGATATGTCCATTTCAATTATTATTCTTCTTCTTCTGCCTTATGCATTATCTTTATTAAAATCAGCCTCTTAAGAATCTCCCTAAATATTTTATTTTATTTCCTTGTGTTGTCAATGATCATGTGAACAAGTTTATCGATTCGATTATCGAACACGTATTAAATACGTATATACGTAATAATACATATGTTGTACATAAAAACATAAGGAGTAGAATATTTATTTCAATACAGATAGTTTAGCATAAGACATACGGAATGTTAGTTTTGCAAGCAAATATCACGTTTAATGAATGGATTGCGAAATTTATTCAGGTAATTATTCATCTCTCGTATTCTAGGAAAATACTTCGTGACTGAAAGGGAGTCACTTTGGTATCAAATTTACGTTAAGCGGCACTATTGAGTGAGCTAGTGTCATATAAATCAGATGGGAGTTAATAATGAATGCAGTATTTACAGAATCACAAACATCGCGTGAAGCTGCAAATGCAATCAGTCCGCGCTCGGAAAATTTGTCATTCTCGTGTACCCAGTTTGACCGCTTCAATTAAGGATAATCGAGATAAACGAGCGACGCGAGTTTATACGGGCATATTGCATCGCGCATGCTTTATCACGTAAAAAGCGTACCATTAATCGCCGATCACCGTTCAATCGCCAATTATATTTACATCTAGATTCAAAACGTCACGATTTCAACGATGCTATTCCGCGAGCATTCGCGAAATTTGTTAAATTAGACAAATCATTACGTCTTTTGTTCTTTCTCCCCTCCCCCCCTCCTCCCTCCCTCTCCTCCGTCTTTCTTTAATTCTTCAAAACGATATTGAATGACAACGTTACTATTTTATAAAAATTAACAACGTTTTTTTTAGCGAATTGATAGCAAGTTCTTTCGCGATGCAACACACTTCTCGCGGGACCTCACCACAAAGGCATTGATTTGTTACGTTATTTTAATGGTTTGATGGTTTAATGGTCGATTTTAATAGCGCTTTTAACGAGCCGTTCCGACGCACTCCGTCGGACCGTACCGAAATTTATGATCCCTCGTTGTACCGTAAGATCGTTATCGGTATAACTTCATCCGTCGTCACACAGCCGATCCTGGATGCGTCGCGTGTTGGTCTATGCCGGATCTCTTTGACAGATCCGCATCCCGTTATGCGGAGCGCCGAAGTCCCAATGTAATTTATGATCGCTGCGTGCAATCCAACGTGTGTATACGCAAACGCACACGTTTCGCACACATATACACCAGTTACAACCAGAGGGATAACTGCAATAGTTTTGAGACGATCGCGTTTGTTGGGTGTTGAACATCACGAGTCTATAAAAACTGCAGTTATGATTCCAAGTTAAAATTGGTCATCATTTCATTTTTTAAAATATATTTATAGGTTTTCTAAGAGAATTGATTTAATTAATAGACTTAATTTGTGTAAAAATGAAGGAACTTTGGGAAGAAGAATCGAAAACAAATATAATTTTATTTTACTTTGAATTAAAAAGAGAAAAAAGTTTCGATTGTTTCCCACAGAATTTTTCAATTCTAAATGTGACTAAGTAAAATAAAACAAAAGTCGATCTAATCGTGTGTACCGCTAAATGCTAAATGTAAAATTTTAAATGCAAATATAAAAGTTGTAATGAAGATTGAAAGTATAGAGAAAAATGTCCACTCGTTTTCTCCTATGCTTGGCAGGACATGGATATGCGGGATTACGGCGAATCGAGGGCATCCCCAAGTCGATAATAAGATGTTTTATTAATAAAACAGAAGAATCAACAGAACGCGTGCGTGACCGTCAGGTACAATTTATCGTACGTAAACTTAATGCACGTCGTGCCCACGTGCGAACGTAACGCCGAATGCGTAAGGGATGATCGGGGGTGATGGCGCGCGGGGGCGCGCTCACATCGCCGAATATACATATAATTTATTTTTATATAAATAAATACACCGTATTACGTGTAATATGTATATATATATATGCGTATACCTATATATATCTATTATGTGTATGTGCGTGTACATATATATTGCGTGTGAGTGCGCGTAATTCCGACTATGTCTAATTACGATCGCTACGAGCAAGAGGGAGTCGTGATATAGTCTGTGAGCTGTTAGTACGTACGCGATATGTTTGGTAACTGGTAGGGTGTAAGACTAGTGTTAATGTAAGTTTTACATCGTAGCGCCACTAAAGGAGTGTAGAGTGTTTTTTGCGGAGCGGAAACCTCGAATCGCTGGCACCCCCTTCGGGACACCCCGCGGAACATGGAAAAACGGAGAAAAGTCGTCGCGTCGTTCACGTTTATAGCCGTCGTGAGTTCGGTGCTTTTATGCCCCGCGTAATTCATTGTTCGACGGAGAATTCGCCTGTGGGAGCGAGAGATTTTAACGCGGGAGGACGGTGATATCTGTGTGTGTGTGTGTGTGTGTGTGTGTGTGTGTGTGTGTGTGTGAGAAATGATGGGGAATCGAGAAATTTTGCCGCTGGCGAGCTGCGTTACGACAAATAAAGTAAACCCCGCGAGGTGACGGTGTTTGCGCGATAAACAAATAGATCGTAGTGAATAAACGGAATTGAGGACGGAAAGTTCCGATGCGAGTGTTAGGTGCCAACTTAAAATAAGTGCGTGTGAAACGGACTGAGTGTGTTGGAGCGATTGGTTACGGCGTTGGTTTGAGACTTTCCGCCTTCGATTTCTGTATCTAGCATAATAAATATGATACTAAAGAGAAATCTATTCTTAACATCCATGAATCTATAAATTGCTATATTGACAATCGTCATACACGTACAAAATGTCTTGGAAGTCGCAAAAATTTCTGTCGCGAGAGACAGAAAAATATTCGTAATATCAAAGCGGTCGATCCACGATCCAACGAAAAATTTTACAAAAATTTTTCAAGTTTTTAAGTATTTATTTTAATATTTATCAAATTTTATTTAGAGATAAATATTTGTCAAAACTGTGACAATCGTGTCGAGCGTTATAAAATAACGATCAAAAAATACGACGATCTAATTCAAGATAGATCTGCTGTTTCGAAGACATTCTGTATTTCTTTTGTGTTCAACTATGCTGCACGATAAATAATAATAATGTTGCATGCATAAAGCAATCGTAAGCTTCACGTTTGCGGCGCAATTAAATCGCGCGGACCGGTCCGCTCCCAGAGCCGATCTGAGGATGTGGCTTTACGCCCTCATTGATAGCTATGCGGGCAGCGTTCCGCAATGATATCGCACCGCGATAATCGTAAAACGAGTTTTGTTCGATATTTAGATTGCGAAAGAAAGCGCGCACGCGAAATCGAGTGACGCCATAAAACAGCGAGTGAAATGCGAATTCCGATTCGTCCACTCGCTGCATTCGCGATCGCGATAACTGTCGTCGAGGACGCAAGCGGGTCGAATACGCGATCCGAATCGTTGAACGAT